CAGTTCTTCCGTGTCCTTTTTAATCTGGGCAGCCAAGTCATCCATTTTTATACTAATGGGCTCTAATTCTTTTTTGATTAGCGCCGGCAATGTATCCTCTATTGTGGATTTCATTGCTTGTGCCACTGCCTCCGCTATATTTTCCTGCATGATTTAGGTTAGTTCTTTCATCATATTTTGTGTGCTACTCATGCTCGTTAGTTTAAGTTGACCCGTTCCTCCCTGTTGGCCTGGTGAAGTTAATGAGAGTTTCCTACTACCGCTACCTCCTGCTGCCATGTAATTATTCTCTATTTTTATTTGTTATTATTTTCCCCCTGCTTATTTATATATATATATTCTATTTATATATTTGGTTATTTTTGCTATTAGTATTATTATTATTACTTTCCGCTTTATCTTCTTTGCCTTGTCCCCTAGTTTATAATTATAACTATACTTATTTTTAACTGATTTATTTGTTTGTTATTTTTCTTTCTTTCTTGTTTTACCTTCTTCCTCCTCCTATTTTATTAGAGTGGGTAAATGTATGTAAGCGTGTATGTATGTTGTATATTCCCCTTACCTTTCCTGCTCTTCTTCTCCTTCTTCTGTATTTTTATTTAACTATTATTTATTCTATTATTAGTTAATTTCCCCCCTTCCTCTTTAAGTTATAAATATTCTTATTATTTTACTTATATTTATAGTATGTCTATTTCATATATATTGTGCAGATCTGCACTTTGTCCCCTGGACTTATTACCACTGCCACTAAACTATATCTTTCTGCTTACCCTTTCTCTACCTTGCACTGTTCTTTACTCTCTATCTAATTCTCCCTCTTTACTCTCTATCTAATTCTCCCTCTTATATCTGCTTCTTATTTATTTTCAGTGCTTTCCACACCTCACACCTCCACCACAGCTGTTTCTGCGCCTCTCCACCACTTTCTTTCTGTAACCATCAATAAACTAGCCCTCCCACACTATTAGACTTTGCCCCTTTAAACGTTGCATCACTTTTGTTCCTTTCACTCGGCTCCTCGTTTTGACTCGGCTCCTCGTTTTGACTCGGCACGCCTCGTGTTCACTCGGCTTTCAAACGCCTCTCTTATTCCCTTTCCCTCGGCTCCTCATTTCTACTTGGCACAACCGATCTCTGTTCGTCCCTCCTCGCTTCCTATTTCGACTCCTCCTATCTTCGGCTCTGATTGTCTCCACTCGTCTCTACTCGTCTGTGCTCCGCTCCAGTCGATGATGTCACCGAACCACTCTCGCCTGTCTCCGTCGCTCCGCTGTTCCGCTTCAGTTTTGCCCCGTCACCGCTGCTTCTCGAGATGCTCATAAAGTAGCCAGTACCTATATTTTAAGTACAACAAAGAAAACTTTCTGTAGCGCAAACTGTGGCGCTTGTCTTTCACATCCACTCTCTGCCTCGTTTTATTAGTACTCTTTTGCACGGTTCAAAAACTAGCTGCTTTTTTTCTCTCAGTGCTGCTCTCTCTAACAATGTAAATTATCTCTCCAGACCCCCCCCCCCCAAAAATTCCCTAAACCCCGTTGCAAATTTGTTTTAGTGTACTTAACTTTTATATGTTAATGTTGGTACTTTGTTGACTCTGCAAGCGCTTCTCTGCTCGTCTTCTGCCCGGTGTGACTAAGTAATCTTGTCGTGGCTCCCGTTGTTTCTTGGACTTCTTGCCTCAGGGCGGGTTGGAATTCAGCCTGGGGGTCACCACCCCACTAGGCTTAGGTCCAATAAAGCCCCCTGCCAAACTTTTCTTTCCCAGAAAAAGTTTGAGACGTTTAAAAATGTCTAAGAAAGTCCTGGGACAGAGGAGCGAATGTCTAACGCTCCCTCTGCCGATGAGCAGGAACCGGAAACTTCCTTCAGGAAGCTTGGAGACTATTTAAAATGACAATCCTGGAAGCTCAGATAAAATGTGTACCACAGGTTAGGAAAAGTACAAATAAGTACTGTTGAATACAAGACTCAACGCAGCTTGTGAACAGTGAATCAGCTTTTATTAATGAAGTCAGAAGAAATCAGAACGAGATAAAAACATAGAGCAACAGGCTCTCTTTTAAACAGTCCGGGCTTAGGTAGCCATGCCCACATGTCATGTAACAACCAATCACTATTTACAGATAAGGTCCAATCAGAGTGTTTCCCTCCAGAACATTGTAAAGCTCTGATTGGTGGACTTACATTCCTGTCCCGAACTCAAGCTCACTACAGAACTTAATACATAACAAGTACCAAAAAGGCCTGCATGGTTAACGAACAAAGTAATAGAAGCATTAAAAGATAAGAAGGATACTGTGAGCAACCCCTGCTTCTTCTCCTCCTCCTTTGTGAGGCAAATTTTCCCACCAAAACACTGTTCCCCACTCTGACTGAGCAGCTTCTTAATAGCATGTTTGGATTACAGAATTATAGTGATGACATCACTTCCGGATCACATGATCAGTGATGTAGACACATTACTGCATGTAGGATGGGCCTCCCTACTGCTCCCAGTAAGCCCCCCCATCCCTCCCCAGTTGCCAGGAGGGACCTGACAACCCTATGAAACCAAAATATATGTATTTATGACAACATGCAATGAAACTATACTTTAAAAACATTGGCAAAATCAGCCACTGAAGTGGTGAGTATTTGAACTAAGAAGTTTTGAATCTATGTAACCTGATACATTACAATATTTCTAGGTTAAAAACCTTGAAGCAATAAAACAGGATCAATAATTCAGTATATCTAGGTTGATAACCTTAAGCCACATTAAAACAGGACCAAAGACGTTTTGACCTCCAAGGCCTTCCTCAGTGGTCAGATTTTTTAATATACATGCACACTATAACATATAAACATGTGTTAGTGCCAAGGCAGGTTGATTATAAGGCCTAAAAATGAATAAGAAATATAATTATTCAATAATTTATAGATGAAAACCAATTTAACTAAAAAAACTTTATAATTTTTTTTAATTAGTTACATTCCAGATATCCTGGGTGGCAAAAGAATTGGGTTGTATGAGCTATATCTTAAACATTTATTTATTTATTTATTTATATCCCACCCTTCCCGCGAACAGGCTCAGGGCAGCTCACAACAATAAATACAAACAACCTAAGCACACATTTTCAAGGAATGCAGGTTTAATAGTTCTTTCTGCAAAAAATGTATATCACATAGCTACTCAAATAGAAAATTAAGTTCAGTTAATTAAGGACCAAAAAAGTTGAAATTAAATAAGACAAACCTTATAACATGCATACCTGACTATGCCTATTACAACTTTCTGACTGTGCATATATCTATCAACCTTTAACTGACAATAACTGTCTACTATTCACATATGTTGTATGGAGGGATGATGCAATCCACATGACAGATGAGTAATCCAAGAAAAAAAAGGGAAGACAGAAAAAAGGGGGAAACTGTGCAGGAGAAAGAGGAGGGAAAGGGAAGCATGGCAACCCTTAAACAGGAAAACTCTCAACCCAAACTAAGTTACAGTATTCCACAGATATATAAACCCTGACCAGATGAAAGAAATATAATCACACACACAAAACCTTTATTGGCATGAAAGCACAAAACATCACGGAAAAAGAAATATAATCACGGTGTGCACTGTGTGATATTAAAGTCAATATCCTTAATTAATCCTTGTGCTGTAAGTGGTGTAAGTGTTCCCAAAGTGCAGCTATTCAACAACCCAGAAGTTAACTTCCTTATAAAAATGTGCGAAGGTTATGAAGTGTTAAACAAGTAGAGCTGTAAGCTTTCTTGTTCTATATGAGTCTTACAAAGAATAACAAAACCTCAAAAAACAACTGTGTGCTAAATTTCCTGCAAGATATTCACAAAGGAGTTTTCATTAAAAGTGAAATGCATCTATTGTCTGAAGTAAATGGACAGATTTACTTCGGACAACAGATGCATTTCACTTTTAATGAAGTCTCCTTTGTGAATATCTTGTGGGAAATTTAGCACACAGTGGGTTTTTTAAAGTTTTGTTATTCTTTGTAACTTATTACTGTGTGCTGCAATTTTGTTCTATATGAGTCTTAACAGATCTTCTTGTCATGCCTATATATATTGGATTGCAGGGACATTGGACAAAATATATTACACCTCTAGAGTTAGAGCTGAGAAAGGAATTAATATGAAAGATTCTGTCATAAAATGGAGTCTGAAATGTCTTTCTTTTAACAGAATAGGCACAGACAGAACAATGTCCACAAGGGAAATTTCCTTTTGACATTTCTATACCATCAATTGTTGTATTTCTGGTAGTAGGGTATCTTAATGTACTCCTCACTAGCATGTTCTTAAGATTTCTAGATCATTTGAAAGTAAAAAGAGGGGGAGAACTACATTTTGGAATCCCAGACAGGAGGTATCTTTGTATTATTCCTCTTAGTTGAGTGTATACACTGTTGTACGTTACGTATACACTGTTGTAACTATCCTATCTGTAGCTTGCTTTCTGACTTTGGGTATTAACAAAGATGATCTTGGTGTGCTTTTTGGCCTTATAAAAACTTTGTTTTAAAGTTTTACGTGAATACCCCCTTATCAGCCACTTGACCGATCAACTCCTGGGCTTGTCTCTTGAAATTTGAATCCAAACTGCAATTCCTTCTCATCTCAAAAGTTGGAAATAGGGCAAATTCTTTTTTAGATGATAAGGATGGAAGCTATCCCCTACTAGACAGGAACTGGCACCTGTAGGTTTCCTGTAGACATCAGTTTGTATTGTGGTACCAACCTTTTTGACTTACACATCTAAAAAATTAATCTAACCTATTACAAATCATATCAAATTGTTTTATGGACAGTGTTTATGTATGGATGAAAGCAGGTTAGTAGTTCCTCAGTAACTTCTAAGATAATAAAAATATCATCCAAATATCTTTTATAAATGGCAATGCATATAAACGTTATTTTCCTGAAAAACAAAGTTGTTTTCTAATTTCTCCATTAAAAAATTGGCCACCTCAGGAGCAAACGTGTTGCCCAAATCCTCAGCAACCTCCTCATGGCCCCATGTATCTCAGTGTTCCTCAGGCTATAGATAAAGGGATTGAGCATAGGAGTAACAACGGTGTAGAAAATGGACGCTATACTCAATTTAGCACCCGAATAGGTGGATGATGGGCGGATATAGGTTCCCATCAGAGTGCCATAGAATAAGGCTACCGTGGTGAGATGGGAGCCACAGGTGGAGAAGACCTTGTACTTCCCAGAAGCAGATGGGACCTTCAATACTTGGAAGACAATGAAGATGTAGGATATGAGGATGATCATGAGGGGCCCAAACAAGGCCACCGTACCTTCAAACATAAGCATCATTTCAACAGAGGAGGTGTCCGAGCAGGAGAGTTTGATTAAAGGGTGGACATCACAGAAGAAATGGGGGATCTCCCAGGAAGTACAGAAGGAAAAACCAGATATCGAGGATACATACAGCAGGCTATGAGCATTAGACAGGAGCCAAGATCCGGCAGCCAAGATCAGACAGCGCTTGTAGCTCATTACTGTTCTGTAATGTAGCGGGCGGCAGATGGCCACGTAGCGATCATATGCCATGGAGGCCAGGAGGAAGTTATCTGTGGTGCAAAAGACCACAAAGAAATACAGTTGGGTCAAGCATCCACTGTAGGATATGGCGTTGGTCTTGGACACCAGGGGCTGCAGCATCTTGGGCACGGTGCTGGAGCTCAATCCAATGTCAGCCAAGGACAAGTGGCTGAGGAAGAAGTACAGGGGGGTATGGAAGAGGGTATCATTGGAACAGATCACCAGGATGATCAAGAGGTTCCCCAGCAGGCTAATCAGGTACATAGAGAGGAAGAGAGGGAAGAGAAGACCCTGGAACTTGGGCGAGGTGGAGAGACCCAGGAGGATGAATCCCTCAAAGTGGGTTTGGTTCCCCAGTTCCTTTTCCATGGCCAAGCTGAGAATGAAAAGGAAGGAAATCAGATCACACCTCATTCCTATATTTCATTGAGTTTCAGAAATGACGGGTCATGGCTATGGGGTACACCAGTGATGGTGAACCTTTTAGAGACCGAGTGGCCCAAACTGCAACCCAAAACCCACTTATTTATCGCAAAGTGCCAACATGGCAATTAACCTGAATACTGAGGTTTTAGTTTAGAAAAAACAACTCATACATTAACATCTTTTGTCTTAAAATAAAAACACAATAACAGAGCTTTCAATTATACAAAAAACTTTTTATTGAAAGGTAAAAGTTTGCATTTGGCATGCTTTTGAACAATTAATATGATTTTTGCTGTTGTACGCACGCTGATAATTTGTCTAATTTTGGCTCATACTTTGTAAGTTTGAGAGCAACAAATGCAGCACTCAGGTCATCTGTTAGTCTGTTTCTGGTGTCTGATTTGATATAATTCAAAGCTGAAAACAGCTGCTCACAAGCATAAGATGATCCAAACAAAGTAAGGAAAGCAATCCTTCTATCTTCTCAAGTATTTCACACAGATCATAGAATTTATTTTTCCAGATAGAGCTTTTTTGAAAATCCAATAGCTCCATTTCCACATTTCCTAAATCTAACCAGTGTAAGCAGGAAAGATCAAGTCTAGAGCCTTAATGGAGGCCATTATTCAGCAGCAGCTTGTCCCACCAGGAAAAGGCCAGGAGGAGGGGATGTACTAAAAGGAAGGACAGGATTGCCCATTGGAAGCAATGGGAAACACTTGAAGGCCCATTGAAAATAATGGGAGCCAGCAATGACAATTGACTTGCATGGGCTCCCTTGAAATACATTACAGTAAAAGTAGAGTTGCAATAAAAACGCGGAATGGATTTTCC